ACTTCAGACAAATGGTTATCCAACCTCTTAAAAGCTTCCAGTGTTTGAGCATTCACAACATCTGGATTCAAACTGTTCCATTGATTAATTGCCAGGAAATTTCTCCTTAGTTCTGAGTTGTTTCTCTCCTTGATTAGTTTCCATAAGTTGCTTCTTGTCCTGCCTTCAGGTGCTTTGGAAAATAGGTTGATCCCCTCTTCTCTGTGGCAGCCCCTCAGATATTGGAAGACTGCTATCTTGTCACCCCTAGTCTTTCTTTTCATTAATTTAGCCATCTGCCTGACCTTGGCTAAAAATATAGGGGGGGGTTGGATCCAAAGCAAGATAGATGCAGTTAGATCTGATGTGAAATAGTATTTCCTAGTTTCACCAAACATCAAAGAATCTTCTGCTTGCAGATGGACCGAAAGGATTATACGTTAATAATAGTTCCATCTTCTCTGCTAGGCATTTCCAGATAACGCCAGGAAAGATTTCTTTAAAATCCTGGAAAGCTTCGGCCAGAAATTTAAATAACAAATATTCAAATTACGGACTCGAGTAATTAAATTTAAATTAAATCCATAAATTTACATTTACGGACTGAAGTCAGTAAGAAATACTGATTACTTGGGCGAGTCGGTGATTCAGCTTTATGTTCCTTTTCAGGGATATATTCTCAGTCTATATTGCTTTCCATAAAAGTTCGGAAAGACTTTTTTAAACAAATGCTGCTTTTCCTCTTCAACCTCCCCCACACTGTCCTTTCCAACAAAATCGTAATTGCATTTTAACCTGCCCAGGAGTTTTATGCATTTTGCCCATCCGAAGCTGTTCCCCAAAACTGTAATTTTGCAGTTAGCGTGGAAAAAAATTGTCTAGACATCTCTGAATATGAAATTTTTTAGGTGGCCAAGGAATTGCCTACTGAATGTTTATCCCACGCTTGTGAAATTAGAGAGTCAGCCTGTCCCTTCTGGGTGGCAGAAGGTGTCTCATCAAAAACAGGCTGTCTATCAGAGAGAGATTGTTTCTTTGCATCCAGTCAGGACGTGTTCTGTGGAAGACGGCTCATTTCTAAATTTCAAGAAGAGACTGGACTGCCATCTGTCAGAAATGGTGTAGGGTCTCCTGCTTGGGTGAGGTGGGTGGGTGGGGTTGAACTAGATGACCTGCAGGGTCCCTTCCAATTCTGTTCATCAAAAAAATGCCTTATGCCTGAAGCTTACAAATAAAAAGACGTCTTGTGGGGGAGACATCTCTTGTTAGTTAGAAATCTATGGAGATTCTCAGTCCTCAAGGTCATGGTTGTCCCAAAGGTGCTTTTTCAAAAGGCAACTGGACTTCCTTTGTTTTTGCTTGAAGACATTTTGCTTTTCATCAACGTAGCTTCTTCGGTTCATGAACTGAACTTGAGCTTCTTCCTGAATTAAGGTTGTGAAGCTTTAAGAAGAGATTGTCTGGAATGCTCTCCTGCTTGAGCAGGGGGTTGGACTAGAAAACCTCCAAGATCCCTTCCAGCCCTGTGATTCTATATGATAAGAAATAGAAGCAAGGTAGAACAAGAAGAGAATTTTCCAGCACGTAGCACTCAACAACACCAGACTGATAACCTGTAGCTAATTACTTCTAATTCTCAAAATAGGTATGGGAGGATATTTTCTTTTTACAGAGGCCAGACTTAAATTGCTTGCTTGCCAGAAAGCAATTTATCGATCAAGGACGTATGTTCGTCTTCCAGGATTTAGCCATGGTGGCGCAGTGGTTAGAGTGCACTACTGCAGGCTACCTCTGCTAACTGGGGGCTGCCTGCAATTTCGCAGTTCAATTTTCACCAGGTCAATGTTGACTCAGCCTTCCATCCTTCCGAGGTCGGTAAAATGAAGACCCAGATTGTTGGGGGCAGGAGGCTGACTCTGTAAACTGCTTAGGGAGGGCTGTAAAAGCATTGCGAAGTGGTATATGTCTAAGTTCTATTTCTATTGCTATTTTTCACACTTATGACTGTTGCAGCCTTCCTTCCTTCCCTCCCCCCCTCCCCCCCTTCCTCCCTTTTCTTCCATGGTTAGAATGCAGTAATTCTACCCACTGCCAGCAGTTCAATCCTGACCAGCTCAAGGTTGGCTCAGCCTTCCATCCTTCCGAGGTTAGTAAAATGAGGACCCAGATTGTTGGGGGCAAGAGGCTGACTCTGCTCTGTAAAGTGGTATATAAGTCTAAATGCTATTGCTGTTTCCCTTAGGTGACTTGCAACCCCAGATTCCTAGGAACCCACTAACCCTAACTCTTCACTGCCTTCCTTTCAGACGGTCAGTAATATCCCCTGTGCTCTGTTGACCGGCATCCGGACGTTACCAGTCCTAGAAGCCAAGGTGCCCGAAAGGCCTACCAGCAAATGCAGAGATCTCCCCAGAGAAGAAGAGAAAGAGAAGAAGAAGAAGAAACACAAGAAACGATCCAGATCACGGTCCCAGACCCCTCCTTCCAAATACTACTCCTCCTCCTCTTCCTCCAAAGCCAAATCGCGATCCCATTCGAAAGCAAAGCATTCGCTTCCCACGGCGTACAGAACCGTCCGGCATTCCAGGTGAGCGTTTTCTTCCTAACTCGTGAAATGCTTGAAAACTTTTCGGTGTCCTGCGGGTTTCGTTGCCGCCTGATTATTTTTAACCGCTATCACGTTAAAGGCGCGCGATGCGCTTTCTAAAAGCGACATGTTCAGAACAAGGAACGCTTTCGTTTTCTTCGGTGCATCTGCCAGGGCTTCGCCTCCCCCAAAGAAAAACAATAAATGGCAGATTGGCTGACGCCAATTAAGGGTGTAGACAGCTTCTTGTCAGTTGCCAGGGGCAAAAAGATGGCGTTGCCAAAGCCACTGCGTCGCTTGACAGGGAGCGTCAGATGGTTCCCATGCCTGCTTCACGCCTCTTTAGGATACAAGATTAAGGTATAAAGTTGGGGAGAAGGGTTTTTTTTAATTTAATATTTTTATTTTTTTAATGCAAATAATACAAACATAGCACATATACATCTAAATACAAAAAAGAAAAAAGGGAGATAAAACTAATATTACAGTGCACCCCCATCCCCCAAAGACCCTTTCTTCCCCCCCCTTATATTTCTTCATCTTTAATAACAAAGGAATATACAATATATTCCATTTGTGCCCTTATCCCCTCCAAAACAACATATATTCTTGAGTAGGTTTATTCCCTTTGCCTTCCACCAAAACCGACTTTATAAAATCCCTCCATATTTCATTATAATTGTTCGCTTTGGCCGTCCCTTTTTTAAATTTAATTTCCAGTGTTAAATGTATCAACGTTGCCATACTCCAAATTTCATTATACCACTCATTTCTTTGAATATCCCAATTTTGTCCCCAATATTTAGCCATCACTAATCTAGCTGCCATTACCAAATATACAATATATTACTTTTTTTTTCTCTTTTGTTTCATTTACATCCCATTTTTCCACCAGCAACAGTAATGCAATTCTCGGTATCATGTCTAAATTTGCCTTCAAGAGTGCTCTAATTTCTCTTAAGTTGGGGAGAAGTTGATTGAAACGATAGGAGGTCTTGTCAGCCTTTAGAAAATCCGTAATGAAGGTTTTTCAAAAGCTACAGTTTTGGAGAATTTTTCTTTTTTTAAAAAAGAACACACAGAGAAGAGGCAGGGCAATGTGCTGGCATGTGTATTTTAGGAAAATGCAAATACACTTAAACACATCATTTTAAGTTGAGGAGATGGGGATAGGAAACTTCTTTTTAACAGTTAGCCCACCCACCCCTTTCATGGATTACTGCCTTATCGTGGCGAAGGGGCTTGCGTAGCTCAGTGAAGCTATGAGCTATGCCGTGCAGGGCCACCCAAGACTGACAAAACATGATCCACTGGAGAAGGAAATGGCAACCCACTCCAGTATCTTTGCCATGAAATCCTCATGGACAGTATCTAAAAGGCAAAAAGATATGATGCTGGAAGATGAGCCTCTGGATGGCGAGTGAAGTAGGAGAGTGCAAAAGTTGGCTTGAAACTCAACATTAGGAAGATTAAGATCATGGCATCTGGCCCTCTCAGTTGCTGGCAAATAGATGGGGAAGAAATGGAGGTAGTGACAGATTTTATTTTCCTGGGCTCCAAGATCACTGCAGATGGGGACTGCAGCCAAGAAATTAAGAGACGCTTGCTCCTGGGGAGGAAAGCCATGGCAAATCTAGACAGCATCCTAAAAAGCGGAGACATCACCCTGCCAACAAAAGTGTATCTAGTCAAGGCGATGGTTTTCCCAGTTGCAATGGATGGCTGTGAAAGTTGGACCATAAGGAAGGCTGAGCGCCAAAGAATGGAGGCCTTTGACCTCTGGTGCTGGAGAAGACTCCTGCGAGTCCCTTGGACTGCAAGGTGATCCAACTGGTCAGTCTTAGAGGAGATCAACCCTGACTGCTCTTTAGAAGGCCAGATCCTGAAGAGGAATACTTTGGGCACCTAATGAGAAGGAAAGACTCCCTGGAGAAGAGCCTCATGCTGGGAATGATTGAGGCCAAAACAAGAAAGCGACGGCAGAGAAGGAGGTGGCTGGATGGAGTCTCCAAAGCAGTCGGTGTGAGCTTCAGTGGACTCCGGGGGATGGTAGAGGACAGGAAGGCCTGGAGGAACATGGTCCATGGGGTCGTGATGGGTCGGACAAGACTTCACAACGAACAACAACAAGAAGCTCCCCCCTTAAAAATGTCAAATCTTGCATGTTCTTGTTAAAAATCATATGGCTCTTTCACCCCATGTCTCTTCAATTACCGTCCCAAGTCCCCCAAAGCAGAGCCTTGGAGACATAAAAGAGGTTTCCGCCTAACTGAATCTGAGGATTAGTTTTTTTTTTTTAATTTAGATTGGAAGAGACAACTGACAACCTTCGTACGTGCCACCCTTAGCCTCCTAACAGAGGGAAACACAGTAGGGAAACCATTGCTTTGTTTTTAACAATCCGTCTTAAGGGAAGGCGCTGTTTCACTGGGAAAACATGCCCTTTCTCTGCAGAAAATCCACGCTTGGATCTTCGGATGAAAGAGACAATGCAAATGACGGAGAAGAGGGACTTCTCTTCCAAGCCCTTCTCCGTCCCTGGGCTAGAAAGAGAGATGTTAAGACTTCGGCTAAGGGAAATTCCTGCTTAGCGGCACAGAGAGAGACTTTCAATGGCTTTTGACAGGATAACATACCTCTGAAAATGGCTTCAGGTGTGTACTGTGGGGGTTTGACAGCTCTTCAACGTTTCCACTGCAAATTTTTCGAGCTCCAGGCTCCCTCCCCATAAACCAATTTAGATTATTTTGATGACTTCTTCCCCCGGTAAGCAAAGTTCCTTGACCCAAGAACTGTCAGGTCAAAGCTGTGGGAAGGAAGAGAGGGCAGGCAGGAAAGTCCAATGAGACCGAATTTGTACACTCTTGGTTTCACTAAGTAGAGCCGGGATTGAAGGTAGCCTGCTGGGTAAAACAAGAGGGTGAAGGATCTTCTCCCAGGCGTCTCTTCCGATTTCTGAGGAATTGAGCATTGGTCTGATTTGTAAATCAGCCCCCTGCAGTAATGTCCATCCTATAAGATGCTCTAGGCTAAGAAGCCTCCCAGAGGGAATAAAAGAGGAGCGATAGGGGAGTGGAGTTTGCAGGAGACCATTCGTTCGCTTCATTGGTTCGTGACTTTCGAGACTCTTTGCCAAGTTCTGCATATATCGGGCTGGCAGCTCTCCAAGCCAGATAAGGTCTGTGACTGTAAATTGAAAGACTTTGCTGGATGTGAATGAGCAGAATTCACAGCAAATTAATAAAAGGGGTTTTTGTTGGAACAAGGAGTTTGCTTCAGGCTCTTGGGAAGCCTCGGTCAGAACAGTGTGTTAAAATAGGGGTCTCCCAATCCCTGGGCCAAGGCCCACTATTGGACTGTGGCCTGTTCAAAACTGGGGCGCAAGAGGGATGGGCAAGCATCCATCTTGCACAAGTAGATCTGTGTGTGCACCTGTGCCCCTCCCACACACACACACACAGACACCGCCCCAGGCCAGGCCACCAAGCTGAAAAGGTTGGGGACTCCTGTGTTAAAACTCATACATTTCTTCGCTAGAACAGTAAGATTCCAATTATTGTTCCTTTTGTAATAGAAGAAGAAGAAGAAGAAACACCGATTAACTCCTAACCCAGTTCTTCGTCCTCATTAGCTTTCTAGTCTCACCTTTCCCATCGCCCGATAGCTCATAGGAGAGCTGTTTGAGCTCATTTGTACATTCAGGTCACCTTTTGCTCGTCCGAGTTCAGATCCCGATCTCATGAAATTTCCCGCGAGGTCTTCGAATCCTGGGTTAAACAGCAACCCCGAGAAAGGATCAGCAGTGCAGTACTTTAGCAGCTGGGCAGAGTCGATCTTGAAGGGCTTCTGAGATGCTTTTAATTGAAAGGTTTTTATAATTTCACAGTGTAATGTGAGTAAAATGTCCTTCAAGGCCGGGTCAGCTCCAAACCATTACATAGAGGCATCTGGGTTTTTAATGTTCTCTGCAGGAGCATGGAGGTGGTCTGCTTATTGCCTTCTGTTTCTTTTTTTCCAACTTGCCAATCTAATCTTCAACCTCTGGCCCTGCTTCGCTTAAACTCCTCACCCTGCCACCATCATCTACGTATGTCACACCCAAGAAACGTAATAACAGCAACCAGAGTCAATAGGTATTCTTTTCTTTTTTTTTAACCAACATTGCAGATTGGAAGGGAGGAGGAATAATACAATTAGAGTAGAGTAGAGTAGAATAGAATAGAATAGAATAGAATAGAATAGAATAGAATAGAATAGAATAGAATAGAATACACTTATTTATTGTCCAAGTGTGATTGGGCACACAAGGAATTTGTCTTTGGTGCATAGGCTCTCAGTGTACATAAAGAAAAATAAAATAGAATACAATAATCAAGAATCCTAAGATACAGCACTTAGTGATAGCCATAGGTTACTAATAAGCAATTAAATCATACTTGGAAACAAAACAATATCAATTTTAAAGATACAAGCAACATGGTTATAGTCATAAGTGGAAAGAGATAGGTACAAGGAAGGAAGAGAAGAATAATAGTAATGCAGTCTTAGTAGATAATTTGACAGTGTTTGGGGAATTCATTGTTTAGCAGAGTGATGGCGTTCGGGGGGAAGTGTCCTTGTGTCTAGTTGTTTTGGTGTGCAGTGCCATATAGCCTCATTTTGAGGGTAGATGTTGAATCAATTTATATCCAGGATGTGAGGGGTCTGTAGGTATTTTCACAGCCCACTTTTTGACTCATGCAGTGTGCAGGTCCTCAATGGAAGGCAGGTTGAGGACCTGTATACTGTACATATGGCCAGTAGGGTCAGATTACCTTANCATGCATACATACATACATGCATGCATACATACATACATACATAGCTATTTGGATGCTATTCTTGTAACTCTAAACACTCTTATTTTCAGCAGAATCAATGAAATCAATTTCTAGAGTCACAGTCTCTGTTGGCAATGAAAATGTGGTCTCTGCAGAGACTCCAGACCGAATAGCAAGATCTTCCTGCATGGATTTCAATCAGAATGAATTG